GGATTGCTGGAGCTCAGGAGTTCGAGACCAGTCTGAGCAATTAGGAGACTCCATCTCTGCTAAAAATAGAAAACCTAGCTGGACGTTGTGGTGTTTGTCTACAGTCCCAGCTCCTCAGGAGGCTGAGGCAAGAGAATTGCTTGAGCTCAAGAGTTACAGGTCTCTGTGAGCTATGATGCCAGGGCACTCTACCAGCGGCCACAAAGTGAGACCCTGTCTCAAAAAAAAAAAAAGTTTTATACTCCATTTCTGGGATTTCTGCTTCGGTTTTCTTGGCCTAGCTTTTTAGGAAAAATTTCAACTACTCATGGGTTCAGAGGGTGAATAAATGATTGTACTTTGATGACAAATTGAACGTCTATTAATAAAACCTTAGAATGGAAATGAAACTTAAAGGACATTTAATCTAACTTTCCTTTTTTTAATTACAAAGATAATACATTCATGTGCAAAATGCAAACGTGTCATCAAGGCACTGGATGCCGGCATGCTGGCTCCCACTGCTTCTCTGCCCCCTGCTCAGTCTCTCTGGCTGCTCCTCTTCTCCTTATGGCCTCCGAGGGGGGCTTGCCCCAGGGCTCAATCCTTGGATTTCCTTACTTCTTTATCCCGCTGACTCCCTTGGTGATTTCATGCAATCCCATGGCTCAAAATGCCACATTCACTCCCAGGAGTCAAGTGGTGTCTCCACCCCAGCCTCTTCCCTGCACTGGGGAGGGTTTATCCAGCTGCCTCTTTCACATTTGCAAGATGTGTACCAGCGACTCTGACACGAAAGTCTTCGCCTTCTGGGCCAGTCCTGCTCTTTGCCCACTCTTTTTTTTTGCAGTTTTTGGCTGGGCCGGGTTTGAACCCACAGCCACAGACACCACCCTCTTTTCCCAGTCTTTCCTGTCTTAGTAAAAGGCCCTTCCTTCCTCCAGTTGCTGAGAGTCCAGGCATCACCTGGCGCCTGTCTCAGACCGGACACTCAGCTCTTCACGAGTCCTTTCCACTCTAACCATAAGTCGGACGCCCTCACCGCTGCCTCTGGGTCTAGAACACAGCCTGGCCTGCTCACTGTTTCTCTGCCCACACAGCCTCTGCTGCCACCCGGCCTCCACCCAGAGCCACAGGGTCCCTCGGCGACGTCCCTCAGATCCTGTCCTTCCCCAGCTCACTGCTCGCCTATGGCCTTTGATCATATTATGAATAAAGTCTAAAATCTATGACTCATCTCCATCTACGAGACCCTGCATGATGTGGGTCCAGCTAAGCCCCCTATGTTTTTCTGTCCCGTGACGTTCCCTCTTGCTCACTCTGCCCTCTTGCTGTTCCATAAACCCACACTGGTTCCCCCAGGGCTCTGCACCTGCTGGTTCTCAGCCTGGGGTGCGCTGGGCAGCCTTGTTAAGGGTCTTCTCTGTGGAGACACTTGCCTGCGGGGCCGCCCCCCACAGAGCCTTCCCTGACTCCTGCTCTCCCATGCCTGCACCCATCCGTGGTGGTGCTGTACTGTGAATGGGGAATCCGTTGCTACCTGGCATCGTACGTATGTGTTCCTGGTTGCAGTGTGAGCTCTGCGGAGGTGCAGCTTCCTAGTACTCACTGAGGATCCCCAGCTTCCAGAGCAGGGTGTGGCCCCGACAATCAATGTTTATGGCAGGGTTGAAAACAGGATTAGGTGAATACAAATAGATTCCTTTTCATCCTGTTCTAGTCCCACCCTTTCCCCAGAGGTTATCACTGTTAATAGTGTGGTAACTAGCTTTGTAGGCCTTTGAAAAATTCACTTATAAATACAGACAATGGGAGAGGCTTTTTTTTTTAAATGATAATGCAAATTGTTTTACACTATACTTTCCTCTCTTTGTATTTCATTTCACGTATTTATTTTTTGAGACAGAGTCTCACTTTGTTGCTCCTGGTAGAGTGCTGTGGTGTCACAGCTCACAGCAACCTCCAACTCTTGGGCTCAAAAGATCCTCTTGCCTCAGCCTCCCTAGTAGCTGGGTCTACAGGCATCCCCCCCAACAACCTGGCTATTTTTAGAGATAGGATCTCACTCTACCCCAGTGGTTCTCACCTTCCTAATGCCGCAACCCTTTAATACAGTTCCTCATGTTGTGGTGACCCCCAACCATCAAATTATTTTCATTGCTACTTCATAACTGTAATTTTGCTACTGTTATGAATTGTAATAGAAATATCTGATATGCAGGATGTACTTAGATGACCCCTGTGAAAGGGTCGCTTGACCCCCAAAGGGGTTGCAACCCACAGATTGAGAACTGCTGCTCTAACCCATGCTGGCCTGGCATTCCTGAGCTCAGGCAATCCACCTCCGTGGCCTCCCAGACATGAGCCCAGCTCTCTCTTTAGATTTTATGTACTTTCTCATATTAACAATATTCATTCATATATAGTTTCTCTCTCTAGTTATCCACCGATAACGGTTTATAGAGATAGGTTTTTTCGTTGTTGTAGTTTTGTTTTCTGAGAAGATAGTCTCACTTTGTAGTCCAGGCTAGAGGACAGCACCACCATCATGAGAGCTCACAGCAGCCTCAAACTCCTGGGTTCAAGTGATCCTCCTGCCTCAGCCTCCTGAATAGCTGGAACTACAGGTGCCCCCCAGAATGCCCTTGAGTTTTTCTATTTTCTTTTTTTTTGTGTGGAGACAGAGTCTCACTGTGTTGCCCCCGGTAGAATACCGTGGCATCACATAGCTCACAGCAACCTCCAACTCCTGGGCTTAGGCGATTCTCTTGCCTCAGCCTCCCAAGTAGCTGGGACTACAGGAGAGTTGTTCTATTTTCGATAGAGATGGGGGATTCACTCTTGCTGAGGCTGGTCTCCGTGTTCTGACCTCAAGGATCCTCTTGCCTCGGTCTCCTAGAGTGTTCGTATTACAGGTGTGAGCCACCGTGCCCGGCCCGAGATAGTTCTTTATAGTGGTTACCTTGTAATCCACACTGTAACTATACCACACATTAGTAATCATTTTCCTGTTGATGGGTGTGTGGGTTATTTCCTACTTTTCACTCTCATAAATGAGACTGCAGTGAATATGCGTGTACGTAAATCTTTGTACACATAGACCCCAGACTGTAGCATTGCCGGTTGGTAACTTGGTAGACACCTCTTAGTTCCTTCTCCTAAAAGATTATACTGTTTTACACCCCCCCCAATATATGTGTCTATTTCCCCATATCCTTGCCAATGTTAGCTATATTATTATACTTTCAAATATTATTCAGTGTTAGGCCAAAAAAAAAAAAAAAAAAAGGTTAACTCTCTTACAAAAAAGAAAGATGATAAAAAGCCTTACTTACAGTCAGGCAATTCGTCATTTCCTGTGCTGATAAGTTATTGAGTTTCTAGATTATAAATTAGCCGGCTAAAGAAAGTGAGTCTTTTTTGAAAGAAAAGGCAGAATTAAAGCAGTCCATTATTTGAGATGAGAAATATCTTAAGCCCGTTAAAGAAGTTTTTATATTCTTTTTCAAGAAGTATCATTTCATCATGTGTACTGTGAGATGCAATCCACAAGCCCAGGTATTCACATTTTCATGCTATTTATATGTAGAAATTCCCAGATGATTTTTTTTTCTCTTAAAAAGAATCCATAACACACAACCTCAAGTGTTAAGAGTTGGCAGGAGAGTTAATGGAGCCGTGGTACTTGGTGATTTATTGTTACTTAACAACTCTCTGGTTTCCCTGGGCCCTTGTTGGAATTACACTCATACTCAAAGAACAAGGGAAGCTATTTGTTTTAATAACTATGAGTGGGGTCCAAAACAGAGGCCTGGGGAGAATAAGAAGAGAAACACCAACCCAGAGAAGAGAAAACACGATTCCCACCCTGGGGGCTTCTGTGATGTCAGTGGCTGGCTTTGACTCAGAGTGGCAGGAACGCCGGTCAGCCCAGATGCCAGCTCTGCCCTCCTAGCCCCGTGGCAGGGCTGGAGGGAGTCCCACAGGGCAGCCCTGGGTCTTCCCGTTTCCATCAGACACTTAATGGTGGGATGAAGGGACTTTTGTGACATTGGTGTGTTAAGAATTTGAAGGATTCTTTGAGATCAGCTATTCTTACCTTACATGTGACAGAACTGAGAGATAAAATGACTTGCACAGGTGATGATCGGGACATTTTAAACATGGTGCTCCTCGAATAAGGAAAGGAAAGAGCTCTTTACTTGAACTTCAAAGACTGAGCAGATTGTTGGACAGGAAGGTACTCTTCCTTGACATTCCTGAGGCAGGAGAGGCATAACTAGTACAGATGCCCCGTAGGCTGCTCCACGTGCGACCGTGACAGACACTGATAACCAGCCTCAGCATCGGTGCCTGAGAGGCCCCCTTCACCCAGCACTGTGGGCACCTGAAATCTCAGGGGACTGATAAGCTACAGGTCCTCTCCTTCTAGATGATGAGGGCACTCGGGATTTACAACGTGGAGATAGAGCCTTGAGTTCAAGCCAGAAGGACTTGGTTTGACTCCTGAATCTGCCTTTCCCTCGCTGTGTGATTTCAGGCAAGTCTCTGGAACTTTCTGGGCCTGTTTGCTCATCTCTGAAATGAGAGAGTTGAATTAAATAATTTTAAAGTGTCCTGCGGCTCTGACACATGCTGATTCAGGAACATTAGACCTCTCTGCAGGAGTTCATAGTTGGGACGTGTCTTCTTATAAATACACGGGTGACTCTCAGGGAATCTTGTTTGGGTTTCTGAAGTATTTCTGGCTTTTTCTGACTACTTTTCATCTGCTTCATCCCACTGGCCAAGAATTTAGAGGTTCAGAAGGGAGAGAGGGGAAATATTTGTGTAGAATTGGAGGTCTCACAGGACCTGTTCTTGTTCTGAGTGTCCCGCAGACAGACCCCTTGCTGCCTGCTCCTTCTGCTTCCTCCATCCCTACTCCTATGAGCAGGAGGCCCTCCAGCCAGCCAGGTCTCCCCACGTGGCCTCCTTCCACCTGCTCCTCTCGGTGACCCTCCTCCCTGTCTGTGTTCCAGGCTCCTCTTCCCTCCGGGCATATCCTCTCCTCTCGGTGATCACCCGACAGCCCGCAGTCATCTCCCACCTGGTCCCTGCCACCCCGGGAATCGCCCAGGCGTTGGCCTGCCGCCCGGTCACTGAGGTGGTCTCCTCCGAGGCCCCGGGCGGTGAGGCCTTGGCCAGCAGTGAGTCGGAGACGGAGCAGCCCACACCACGGCAGAAGAAGCCACGCCGGAGCCGGACCATCTTCACCGAGCTTCAGCTTATGGGCCTGGAGAAGAAGTTCCAGAAGCAAAAGTACTTGTCCACCCCAGACAGGTGAGGGTGCAGGGCGGGGACTCTGGCTAAGGCCCCTGAGGAGGGAGACTCCTTTTGCTCCTGGTATGGATCATGGAGCCAAAACAGACTGTTTTTGTGACCCACTGTGGGAATCTTGCCTTGGCCCAAGCTGTCTCAGCCTTGGTCTAACAGAACCTGGCCCGGGGACTCCACACGGCCCCGAGAGCCTGTGGCTGCACTCACACGCTTCACTCTCTCTCCATACTTTAACAGACCCCTGTCAGTGTAATAAGTGAGGTCAAGCTTAGCAAAGGTTGCCCAGCCTCTGACTTGGCAGACAGTCTTGGTTTGTAAAGCCGCTCTCACTGTGCTCAGCAGCAGCAGGACTAGACCTGGAAATGGATCCGCAATCCAGTCCTCACTCTGCTGCTCTCTCCACCGTCCTACCTCCCAGCTGACTCAGCGGCTAGCCTGCCTCTCTCTGGGAAAGGCTGACGAGCTCAGACCTGCCAGTGAACTTGTTGGACACCAAGTCAGAACTGGTTGGCTGGTGCCAGGAGGACCAGATGGGCTCCCTTTCCTCGGAGCTTCCAAACCTCCCCTCCCCCCTTTAATTTGCTATTTTAACTGCAGGAATATGCCTGGAGTGTGACCCTCAAACTCACTGTGCAGTGGCTGAACTAACGCATGGTCCTACTTACTGGGGGGATTTCCCGGCCCCTTTTCTCTCCTTTTTCCAACTGCTGTGTCCATATCAGGTTTGATCCCAGTCCTACCAAAGAAAAAGGGATGGAAGCACAAGTGAATCTCCTAAGCTCTTTGATAAACAAACATTTAAGTGAGCAAGGAGTCTGCGAATTACTGACTGAAAGGGAATTTGGCTGCTGGTTCAATGAACCAGGCACTCTCAGCTGTTCACCGAAGGTGTTCTGGGTGCTGGGCACTGTGGCAGGGATGACAAGTCCCCAAATTGGCAGAGTTGTGCTGTGAAGGAGGTCACAGGAAGGGATGATGACATTGAATGTGACACAGGGAGCCAGGTCCTGGTGCCCATGTGGTGCTGAGTGCAATAGGAACACGAGATATTGCTGAGTGTGTCTGATGGAGCTGGGAAGACTTCCCAGAGGAGGTAACATTTAGGAAGAGGTTTGCTTCTGGGAGGGACATCCCACATCAAGGGGATGGCACACAAGGCAGAGAAAGAAGCCCGTCTTGCTGAGTATGTCGAGGGAACTTCAAATGGTTGAAGGAGGGAATGGGGACGAGGTGGGGATAAAGCTGAAAGGTGGGCAGCCCCTCCTATGCCTGGCTGAGAACTTGGGTGTTTAGACAGTCAGTGACCTTATGAGCTGGAAGCGACATGACCAGATGTACATTTTATTTTATTTTATTTTTTCTTTGAGACAGAGTCTCACTGTGTCCCCGTGGGTAGACTGCCGTCACGGCTCATAGCAACCTCAAACTCTTGAGCTTATGCAATTCTCTTGCCTTGGCCTCCCAAGTAGCTGGGACTATAGGCACACGCCACAACACCTGGCTATTTTTTTTGTTGTTGTTGTTGCAGTTGTCATTGTTGTTTGGCAGGCCCTGTGCCAGGTTTGAACCAGGCAGTGGGGTGTATGTGGCTGGCTCCCTAGCTGCTGAGCTACAGGTACCAAGCCCAGGTGTACATTTTAGAATTGTCTCTGCAGCGAGTGCCGTGAGCTGTAAATGATGGGTCAGCGAGGCAAAAGGTGGAGAAGAGAAACCAGTTAGAGAATCCAGGGGTGATCACTGCAGAACTGAATTGGGGGCAATAGAGAGGTGAGGACAGAGGGGAGAACGATTCTGAACATGGAGTGGACAGAGTTAACACTGGCGGAAGAAGCAGAAGCTGAGAATTCTGTGGTTCCCTGAGTCTGGTCTCCAGTAAATGGGGACGCCATCAACTCAAGTTGAAAGGCAGAGGACGGAGCGGGTTTAGTAGGGAAAGGGTGAGTTCTGTTTTTGACTTATGCATTTGGGGTGCCTTTGGGCAGACCATGGAGACAGGTCTGTGAACCAGTATTAATAGATGGGATCTCCAGACATTAAATGGACATTCGGATGCCCCACCCGCTTATAATTGAGAGCCCCGTGGCCCATGCAGCTGGGGGAATTGCACAAGTGGTAACATGTTAATTAAAAAGGCTTTTCATACATGGGCAAAATTTAAGGCTTGTTTTTTAGAAGTCAGAGGATGTTTTTACAGAAATGTTAGTTCTTGATAAACCTCTTAAGGCTTCCTCATACCTGCCCAGGCATCTCTCAGGTGACCTACACAGGCTGGATTCATTTGCCTGAGGAGGACACATCTGGCTGGCACGGAGGCCGCTGCCTTAACCCGCCCGCTCAGATGTTCCTCACCTCCCTACGTGACCAGGGCCACGAGCAGCGCTGCCTCCTCCCTCAGCCCTCAGCCTCCTCCTCTGTGTTTGTGTCTGCAGTTTCCTAGGTGACCCCATTTAAGCGAATATGCAGGGAAGTGAGAATTTGTAACGGTGGCAGGTAATGAGAGGAAGCTGATGACAGTGAAGCCTGTTTCTGTAGCCAGAGTGAGTCAGGGCTGCATTTTTCCCAAGTGAGCTAACACCACTTGCTAACCCAGCAGCAGAGCTGTGAACCGAACCTTCCATTGACTCATGCACCTGACGGCCTCAGGTGAACTGGGCTTGGGGAGGCACTGCAGAGCCCCCAGAGGACCTGCCTCCAGGGAGGCCTGGGCGACCAGAGGTCTGTGGGCCCCTGGGTTCTGGGTTCTTTTGTGGGTGACTGCCAGGGAAGCAGTTTCTCCTCAGTGGGGAGAGCCAAGTGCTGCTGGTGTTGGGAACTTACTGGCTTTTGCCTGTTACACCTTCCAGCACCATCTAAAGGGACAGATTTAAGACCCGTTGCAAAGTCCCTTGAAGGAAAATCCTGCTTGTTACCGGGAATTTAGATTGTGCTCTGTGGTCTGAGCAGGGTGACTGGACGGCTGCACAGGGAGTACCAGCCGCTGGAGCAGCCGTGGTGGTATCTGTTGGTCTCCATGCAGGTTAGATGTCCGTGGGCAGAGAGAGCTGCAGCTGAGAAAATGCACCCGAGACTCTCTGTGGCTCGGGCTTGTGGCAGTGCAGGCTTGTGTGAGATGTGGGCCTTAGATCCACAAATAGCCAGTGCAGAAACTTGGGCCTCTCAAAAAGTGGTGGTCACTGCCCAAGCCCTATCTAAGGCGGTTCCAAATTGCTGTGTTAAAGGTCCGTGCTGCATCATTGAGAAGGGTTGGAGCTGTAGGGAGGCCGCTGCTGTTGGCCTGAGGAGGTGGCCCTTCAGCTGGTCCTCAGGCGGACCTGGACTTCTCACCCATGCGGGTCAGTGTTACAGTCTCCAGGACTGAGGGGAAGCCCAGGTGCAGACCAGGCTTTCTCATTCCATGACCCTACTCGGGTTGTTTGCTACTCCGTGGGGTGGGGGTGGGGCATCCTTACATTTCCCTTTAACAGACCCAACTTACACAAATACCAGGGGTGCCCCCCAAAATGCATACACAACCTAAGAGCTATTGTCTATGTATCATGTTTCAAAGTTGAGTTGAATTACAGTAGCAAAGTATAGTATGATGATCACTTAGAATGGTGTTAATCAAGCAAATGCTAGTGTCACCACGAGGCAGGCACAAATGGGATAGCTTTTCCTCTTAAAATGTGTGTACACGGGGGGAGGATGGGTGGAGGGAGGGTGATTGCTGGGATCACACCTAGGGTTTATCCTATAAGGGTACATGTGAATCTTCCTAAATGTGGAATATAAATGTCTTAACACAACAACTATGAGAATGACATGAAGGCTATGTTGGCCAATTGGATGAAAGTATTTCAAATTGTGTATGGAAACAACACACTGTACCCCATGAAAGTATCAATGTACACAACTATGATTTAATAAAAAAAAGTGTGTATATCTATTTGGGGCCCTCTGTACAGTAGGGGGTGAGCCCCTGTAGGGAGGTGCTGTAGAAGTCAGAGGTTAGGGAGTTTGGGGCCCGCTGCGATCTCCTTAGGTTCAGCAAAGTGTCTTAGGACAGAGACAGACGGTAAACATTCTAGGCTTTGTGAGCTCTGTGATCTGTCCCAACAACTCAGCGCTGATGCTGTAGCCCAGAGGCAGCACGGATAATACATAAACAAATGAGTGTATTTGTGTTCTAATAAAACTATATTTGCGAAACCAGGGAGTGGGCAGGATTTGGACACAGTTGCTAACCGATTCTAATCTCCCTAAATCTCGAATCACTCATCTGTAAAATGGGGATAATTGGGCCTCCTTCACAGCGTGGTAAAGGAATAGAGATGAGATAGCTCGTGTCAGGGTGAGCAGGGAGCCTGGGCGGCCTGGTGCTCTGGAGATCGCTGCTGTGTCCTTGGTCTTAGCCCCAGCTGCACACGTCCCAGGAACAGCTCTGCCTTTTAGGACTTTCCAGATGGCCACAGAGGAAATGCACAACTGTGATTAGCAGTAGGATAGGAAGCAGGAGGGGCTATGGATTTAATGTTTCCTTGGAAACAGTATAACATTTACTTATCCATCACATTTTAATCATTGTAACAATTTAGGGCAGCTACAAGGAATGAATCAGTCCATCAGAAGGTATTTCTGAGCCCTGGTTCTGGATTTAGGAAGGTGATAATAAGCACTTTTGTGAGCATAAAAGTGGAAGATATGCTTTGCTCTTGCTGCCAAGGGGAAGGAATCATACATGGGAAGTGACCAGAAACAAGTGGAGGCCATCGAACCACCTGGGGGGAGGGTGCAGATCGGATGAGCCGGGACTGACCTGCAGGGACAGGACTAGAACAGACTCTGCAGCCGTGAGTGAGGCCCCAGGAGGAACTGACAGCTTTACCTTCTGTTTTCAGCTTGGACTTTGGCTCAGAGTCCTCATTTGTGGAGGCTCAGAGTGAAGACTCCGTCAGGTCAAGGAAAGGGCTGTGAATAAGGCTCAGCTGCCCTTCTCAGACAGAGAGTCTTCCAGGCTGGACCCTGGCCCAGTGTCCTTGGGCACGGGCAGGGCATCTGTTTCTTAGCCTCCCAGATTTTCCTCCATGGGATCCTCGGAAGGAAAGAAAAGCCTTTTTGGGAAGAATTGGCATATGAAGGGGGCAGTCCAGCTTCGGGGGCAGGTGCCCGAGTAAATCAGCAGGGTGTGGTCTCTGCTGCCCTCTGTCTCTTCACCCTTCCCTTGTCTCTTGTGCCTTCCAGGTTGGACTTGGCCCAGTCTCTGGGGCTCACCCAGCTGCAGGTGAAGACTTGGTATCAGAATCGTAGGATGAAATGGAAGAAAATGGTAAGAAAGGAGAGTGCCCACCCCCGTGCCCATCCTGGCGGGCAGGATTCTTACTGCAGGGCTGGTGGGTGGCAGGAGGGACAGTGTGGTGGTTTGGGCTGCAGATGGGGAGGCCTCTGGAGGGAAGGGAATTTGAGCGGTAGAGTGGGCTGTTCCTCTCGATCTGGATTTGCTAACCAGAGGGATAGTCCTTTTCACAATTTCCTTAGAAATCAAAGAAAATGACAACCCACACGCCCTGCGTCTCCCTGGGTCTTTCTCCTCGTGTACAGACCAACCATTTCATCCTTCCTAACATTCTAGTTTGCTAACCCATCTGGTCGCAAGCCATTTGCTGGTATTTTAAGGGCTGGAATATGATCTCTTTTTTCACAATAACCAAATAACTAAGTTGTCCCCCCAACTCTGTTTTTAGTGGATATTTTCTTAATTTTGTGGTTTTATCTGCTAATAATGAGAAAAAAATTAAATTACAAGTGAATATTAATGCAGAAAATTAGGAAAAAAGTCAACAAGCAGCTATTCTTTTTCTTTTTTTTGAGACAGAATCACCCTCAGTAGAGTACCATGGTGTCATGGCTCACAGCCACCTCAAACTCTTGGGCTTAAGCAATTCTCTTGCCTCAGCCTCCCTAGTAGCCGGGACTACAGGTGCCCACCACAATGTTTGGCTTTTTTATTTTTGCAGTTGTTGTTGTTTAGCTGGCCTGGGCTGGGTTCGAACCTGCCAGCCTTGGTGTATGTGGCTGGTGCTCTATTCATTGAGCTATGGGCGCTGAGCCAACAAGCAGCTATTCTTACAGTCTCCGAAAGGAATTCCTGGGCAAACCTCATCATTTCCACTGGGGGCCCTGACCCTGAAATAGAAGGATTTTCCAATGGAGGCAGCCTTGTCCTGCACTGCTTGTGAAGTAAGGCGATGACACCAGTTGCGTGTAGAAACGCCCACATGATGCATGAATCAACAACTGTGTGTTGAATATCTCCTGTGAGCCATGCCTTGTCCTAGGCACTATAGGAATGAATTAAAATATAAGCCCCACCTTTGTGATCTATTAGAGAACTAAGAATTGATGACCTATTAGGGAAACAAGGCCTGGGAGGCAGGTAGGGAGCACATTATAATTAGGTGCTGGTTGTTTATTATGGACTTGTAAGCTCATCCAAGTTCAGAGGAGAGGAGGTAGAGGAGGTTGCAGGGAGAAGTTGAGATTGAAGGCTGAATGGATTCATTTAAATAAATAACCATTCCCCAAACTCTGCAAATGCTGAGACACAAGTGAAACTTGCTATGGTGGAGAGCTTTGGGGGGGGTGTCAGTCTCTAAAGAGCCTGATCGGGGAGTGAGCCGCGCTGGCCGTGCCCGTGCCTGCCTCTCCCTGGCCCATTCTGGGCAAGTTCCACCACCCACCTCCTTCCTCGTCAATCATCGGCATGGAAATCAATGTTTCGAGTGAGCAGAGGCATTGTTTAAATTGGTTATCATCAATCTCTTCGTGAGTCAGATGATTAAGGGGTTGACAGCGGCCTCTCTGCCAGCACCGCCCAGGACCCATGGGACCACGCAGGAGCCTTTGCCTGTGACGTCACTTGTTTTTCACCAGCCACTGTGCTCCTGGCACAGTGTGGCTGGGCCGTCGATGGCTATCAATGACTTATAAACCCAACTGGAAGAAACTCAGCAGATTTAACCTCAGAACATTCTGTAGGCCAACCCAATTCAGTCCTCTCAGGAAACAAGAGTGCCAAGATTTCAGTGCCGTTTACAGTAACTTATTGAGCACTAAGGCAACAGAGATGCAAAGATAGGGCATGAACCATCCATTAGATCTCGTAAGAAGGTCCTCCGTCAAGACGGGGGCCAAGACCTGCCAACTAAGGTCATCATTATATAGACAGAGATCAAGGCAACAACAGGAGACATTCAGGGTTCAGAATCAGAGAAGGGAGGGCTTCATGGAAGAGGGGACATCGACATTAACTTTAGTGGCTGAATAGAAATGTGCCAAGTGAGGGTGGCAAGAGGGTTGCAGGCAGAAGGCAGGGACAGAGCCCTTGGGGGCACTTAAGTACTTCAAAACGGTGGGAGCTGAACTGTGGGGGACTGTGTTCACTCCACTCCCTTAGAACAGCAAGGCATTGTTGAGATCCTGATTGCTTCATGTATTTTCTCGGTAAATCTCTTTCAAAGCTATCTCTTCAGGTATTGGAGAGGAAAAGAAAAAGATAATTGGGTAATAAAGATGTCTCAAGGCTAGTAACCTAATTGGAACTGGAAAAAGATTAGCACTTGATTCTCAGACTTATTCACGCTCCTGCCAAAGGCAGCCCTGCCAGAACAGAGATAGTATCTCTGACTAGTTCTGACTGGTCAGCGTGTAAGCTATAGCGGTTGGGTAAATCTTGCACATTAGATGATGCTCACCCTCTATTCCATTTCAGTAGGACCTGGGGTGTTTCACAACAGGCTGACGGTCTCTCCGTCCTCAGTGGCTTTTCTCTGCTCTACAGTGGAATTCTGTTCCGTGAGAGGGTCCAGGTGGACACTCCCTTCCTCTCTGGATCTCAGAATTCGATGGGTCCACACCACACACCATCGTTGTTCAAATCTCTCACCATTTCCAGATAGTGACACTATGAAACTGTTAGCAGTAGCTTTTTTACGTAATCTTGGGTGGGTTACTTAACCTCTGTGTTCCTGTTTCCTCATCAGTAAAATGCCTAACATGTACCTTGTAGGGTTGTTAGTATTAGCTGGGCTCATGTCTAAAACTCTTAGAACAGGGCCTGCCATGTAAGATACAGCCAAGAGATATTAGCTGCTGCTGCTGTTGTTACTATTTACCTGTCCTCAAAATCCAGGGGATCCGAACTGCCCAAACTCCGAGGTTTTCTTTTGCTTAGTAGCAGTCCCAGGTGCCTGTCCTTTCTCAGTCCCCTCCCCAGCCATCTCCCACTCTGTGCTGGGACCTGCTGGAGGTGCGGTGGAACATCCCCCTGAAGGCGGAGAAAGTCAGCTAGTGTGGGCAGCAGTGTTCCGGGAGGAGAGCCCCACTGGGGAATCCAAACTTGTTTCTGAGCCTGATGGGAACAGTCATCAGTTCCATGGCCCCTGCTGTTGTATAAAGCTACCAGGAGAGAGAGAGAAGCAGCCAGATCTCTCCCACTAATAATCTGCAGCCTGGAGTCTGCTGGGCACTTGGGTAATTGCAAATAAATACCTGATCCAGAGCAGTGGCACATTTTGCCTGCCCCTTACACGTTATGCTGGATGAAATACTGCTAGGTGTTAAGAGTCCCAGTGGTTAAGGGTTTTGTCTTCCAATCTCAGCTCTTCCCTTGCTTTGGTCTTTGACATTGGCAGACTCTGTCAGCTCAGTTTTCTGTCTGAAAAGTGAGGGAGAGAGAAGTTTTCTCCTGACATTCTCTGTCCCCTGCCTAAGCACCTCAGGAAGGAAGCAAAGGCCCCTGACGTCCTCAGAAACAGAGCGTTTAGAGACCTAGTTTTAGAGTTAGGCGGCAGCCTGTGCACAGGTGTGGCCAATACAGGTAGGCGGTGTGCTGGATGTCCTGACAGGGAGAGAGGGGCACGTGCCCTCTGTGCTATGGGCCGTCTGGCTTTTCTGGACCAAGGAGACGAAATTGGCTCCAGGAATAATTGGGGGGGAGGGCCACAGTGTGCATGTGAGTGTGCACGCGGGGTGGAAGGTAGTGTGGAGATAATTGCATCTCTCAGGTGTGCTGGAAGAGGGGGCCAGAGGTCAAGTGCAGAAAGCAGACAGAGGGGGGTTTCCCCCTAATTACGGCTTGCTCTGGAATGTTTTATTTCATTTAGAAAATGGTCTGATTGTTTTGATTTTTTTTTTTCTTCATGTAGGAGAACAGCCAGGTGGGATCTGTCCGGGCCGTGTGGGTGGTTTTCTCTAATTGCTGGGCTGGCCTTTCCTCTGCCAATTAGGTGGCTTCCTTGGTCCTGCCCTCGTCTGACTTGATTACTGCATGGGGCAACTCACTTTTGTATAACCTCTTTCATGCCGAGTAGAGCTGCTTTCAACACGTAAATTCCATCCTGGCACATTTAGGTGCTTTCAAAAGCCTGCACTCAGACTGAAATCAAAATCAGATACTGACTTACGTGAAAAGGGAGAGAGGGATGTCTTCTCCCTAGGGGTGTTTTCTGTCAGTGTCTCTGCCTCTTAAAAGTTCCCTCTTAAATGTGTTAGCTATTTGGGTGAAAAGTACAGTGGTTAAGCTGATTTTTCTATCTAAGAGGAGGTGTTCATTGAGAACTCACTGTTTTTCTCATACCACACACAAAAAATTAATGCAGAACACATCATAGGCCTTAATGTAGGAGCTAAAACTATGAAACTTCTAGAAGAAAATACAGGAGTACAAATCCGTGACCTTGAATTAGGTAAAACCTTCTTGTATAGGACAACAAAATACAAACAATGAAAGGAAAAAGAAACTGGACTTCATCAAAATTAAAAACGAAGGGAAAACCCACAGAATGAGATGAATGTTTGTAAATCTCATATCTGATTAAGAGACTTGTACCCAGACTAAAGAACTCTTAACCACTCAATAAAAAGACAACCAGATTTAAAAGTGAGCAAAGGATTTGAATGAATATTTCTCCAATAGATGACATCTTTAGAATTTAGCTGGAGGAGTTTTTGTGTCAAGGAGAAGAGCGTACATTTTAACACATTTGATTTGAATTCTCTGATTATCATGAAAGGGCATCAGTCGTACTTTCAAGAGAGTGTTGGTGTCTGTTTTCCTCCTTGCTACAGATACCGTTGTCTTTTTATATCTCGTCAACTTGGTAGTGTATTAACATTCTAATTTCATTTCTTTCCTTATTGTTGAAGTTGAATTTTCTGTGTGTCTAAGACCACTTTATTCAGCACCAAAATGTATGATATTAATTAAAAGCACATAGAGCGTTTGAGGAAGGAAGATGTCTTTGTTAGACAAAACTGTGATTTTGCTGCGGAGAAGGAATGGTGTTGATGTCACGGGCGGTTATACGGGGGAGCAAGAAGCTGGAGGGAGGGAGTTATTATGTCTCGGATTTAATAACTTTTTCTCACACAGGTTCTTAAAGGTGGGCAGGAAGCACCCACAAAACCCAAAGGCCGGCCCAAGAAGAACTCCATCCCCACATCAGAGGAGATTGAAGCGGAAGAGAAGATGCACAGCCAGGTGCAGAGCCAGGAGCTCCCAGAGCCGCCCCAGGGCCAGGAGCAGCTCTGCGAAGCCCCAGAGCCTGTAGCAGGCGACTGCCCCTTAGACAGGACAGAACCACCAGGCCAGGCCCAGGAGTTGCCAGTAGTCTCTTCTGAACCTCCCCCATTAAGCTAAAGTAGAACTCTTTTGGGGGGAAGAGGGAGACAGGGAAGAAGGGAAAAGAGAGAAAGCGGGGAGTGTAGAGAGAAAAACTTGCACCAGCCTGGTGATCTGGAGGGAGCAGATCCACCTGCCTCCCTCCCACACACTGTTCCCGGTGGCCTTTCCATCACCAGCATTTGAGGAGGACGTGATGGTTTTAGACTTCTCTTCCTGAAAGGCTGCCTTAAGCACGGAAGACCTTGACTAAGAGTGACAGCACCGTGGGGCTGTCTGCCCGAGCTGGGGTGACGGCTGTAGGGGCCGGGTCTGTGCTGCAAGCCCTGCCCTGGGGTGCAGCGGAGGGCACTTGGCTCTCTCCCTGCCACCTTGGGCAGCCGGTCATCCATGCAGGGACACATAGAGACATGTGGGGAGCATGCCCAGGCTCCTTGCTGACTCAGCACTTATTTCTGTAGTTTAAAAAGAGAATTTAATGTTTTTGGTTGTTTTGTTTGTGGGGGGAGGGTAAAGGAGGGCAAAACAAAAACCGGGGAAGGGAGTTCGGAGTTCAAGTCTGTGTGTTTGAAGACACGTGTGCCTTTGTATCCATTATAAGATGGTGATGTGACCTAAGAACTGACAAGCCTTGTTCTTCTTGCTTCATTCAGTTTCCATCTCTGAAGCTGCAATGCACATATGTTAAGATAACTTTTATTTTTTAATTAAAGATAAATCTTTTAAAAGGATTGAGTGCTTTGTGTCTTCTTGAGGATGTATCTGACCCTTCTAAAGGGGACCCGTGGAAAGAAAGACCCAGAGAGTAAGCCAGGCCCCCTGGGTGTTCACTCCCTGTCTGTAAAGCAAGAGATTGGGCCAGGCCTTTGGTGTCCACACGCGGAGAGCCGTGGCAGTGGCACTGAGACCCCAGGTGAGGGAGGAGGAACGTGGCTGAGCTGCCCCAGCTGCCCTCCCATCCCCTTCCGCCAGAGCAGCTCCCTGACCAGCCACTCTGGATTTGTTCTTCCAACTTCCTTCCTTTTCTGAAGAGGTAATAAATTTACATGCCTTAAAAGTCAAAACTCTAAAAAAGAAGTCTTACCTCCCTCTCTGCCTTCCCCGGCATTCCCTGTAGGTAATCATTTGTATTAATTGCTTATGTACCCTCTGAGGATTTCTTTATTGGGTATACTTTCTTTGTCGAGAGAGTCCTACCCTATGCCCTGAGCAGAGTGCAGTGGTGTCATAGCTCACTGCACCTCAGACTCGGGCTGTGGGCATCCTGCTACCTTGGTCTCCCAAAGCCACCAGGATTATAGGCACTCGCTGCAACACGGGCTGGGTTTTTCATTTTTTTTTTTTCATGAGATGGGGTCTCACTCTCACTCAGACAAGTCTTAAACTCCTGAGCTCAAGCAATCCTCCCACCTCAGCTTCCCACAGTGCTGGGATTATAGGCATGAGCCACTGTGACTGGCTGAGCATCCATTTGGATGACAGGGCTGTGCATCTTTTAACAGAAGGCTTGAGAACTACTTGGTTAGATGTGCTTGGTGAGTTTTAAGAAGACCAGGAAAGAGAGAGGCTCCAGATTGCCTAAGGTGGCAGGTGGTGGGGGCCCTTCACGGGGTTTTGTCTGATTCTCCTGCATGCTGGCCCAGAGGCCTGAGCTTGCCGGGGTCACCCTGATGGTGGCTTCCCTGGGATGCCCAGCTGGGATGCCCCACGGTGGCCTGCCTAGTAGTGGACTCTGTTAATTAATTACAGTTAATTCTGTGCAGTCAGGGACTTGGAGAAGCTTGAACAGTGACCTCTGTCTACAACAATCATATAATTCATTTCAAAGTTAAAACAGGAAGGATCTGTGTGTTTCTAATCAGCTGGCCACCTGCTTCTCTCCGCAAACACGGGCAGTTAGAAAGTGGCTGCCGTTTTGGCTTTGCCAAGGCGGCACCTTCATTCCCTTTGCTGTTGAGACCAACCAGGAGAAAGCCGTCTTTTTCTAACTGGTGAATAGACAAAGCAGTTAAGCACTTGGCCTCTGAGAACCAGTTTGTGCGGACGACGCCTGCCTGTGCGAGGAGTCTTGCACAGAGCGTGCAGAAAGCTGTCTCCTCCTCCAGCCCACCCCACACAGTGCAGTTTTATGGTCTGCATACCAGGTGGTGACACAATGAGCCAAAGAGAGTTATACAATGGCCAAGGTAAGCTGTGGTCTGTGCCAGCTCAGTCTCACTTTTGAGGGACTGTTCTCTCCCGTCCACCCCACCCCCGAGAGGCCTTCTGTCTGGATGCTGCCTTCTGTCTCTCACCCTGGGCTGTCATGATGCCCTTTTCTGAGGTGTCTGGCAGTGGCGCTCAGCATACAGTATCTGTGTGTGTTCACATGAGGACTGGTATTCCTGGGCACTGGGTGCCGGGTGCCGTTTCTGGCTGCCTGCTCTTACTGCTTGGCCCTAGGGGTTGAGGGTATTTCACTGGTGAATTGAAGACCTTGGACTAGCTTTCCTTGGGTCTTAGGGCAGTGGTTCTCAACCTTCCTAATGCCGCAACCCTTTAATACAGTTCCTATTGGTCGTGACCCACAGGTTGAGAACCGCTGGTCTTAGAGGATCCAATCCCACAGTCACCTCCACTTACAAGCCAAGCTCATCTTCCAGCCTCAATTCTGCATGACTCTGCTCATGATTCTAAGAGAGGCCAGGCTGGGCCTTTTTCTGGTGTATTTCTAATTGACATTTTGGATATGTATGGTGTACAACGTAATGGTTTGAAATACGCATACATTGTGGATCAGCCAAATGGGGCTATTTAACGTACACCATACCTGTGGTTTACCTGCCATGGGAAAATGTACTCATAGCAGTTTTCATACATACACTGTTAAGTGTGGTCGGCACATTGTACAGTAGATCTCTCGAACAGGCTCTTCGTGTCCAGCTGAGATTTTGTATCCTTTAACCACATCTCCCCACCTGCCCCCAGTCCAGCCCAGGGTTGCGTTTGCCTTTTTATTTCCGAGTCCACAGAAAAGTGACATCATGTGGTCTTTTTTTTCTCTGAGTATTTATCGATAAGATAATGTCCTTTTGTCCATCCATGTCATCGTAAGTGACAGAGTTCCCTCTTCTTAGAGTATTGCATTGTGTATAAACCATATTTTCTTTACCTTTTCTTCCCTCTCTCCCTTCCATCTTACGTCATCACCCTGGGTAGAGTGCTATGTCATCACAGCTCACAGCAACCTCAAACTCCTGTTCTCAAGTGATCCTCCTGCCTCAGCCTCCTGAGTAGCTGAGACTACAGGTGCCCACCACAATGCCCGGCTAGTTTTTTCTATTTTTTTTTTT